TGGCCAACAGGCCCATGAAAAGATGCTCCACATCATCAGAGTAATGCAAATTAAGACCACAATGAGATATCACCTCACACCAGTAAGGATCGTCACCATCCAAAAGACAACAACCGCACATGTTGGCGAGGTTATGGAGAAAGGGAAACCCTCCTACACTCCTGGTGGGAATGTAAATTAGTTCAACCATTGTGGAAAGCAGTATGGAGGTTCCTCAAAAAGCTCAAAATACAAATACCATTTGACCCAGGAATTCCACTTCTAGGCATTTACCCTAAGAATGAAGCAGCCCAGTTTGAAAAAGATATATGCACCCCTATGTTTATCGCAACACTATTTACAATAGCCAAGAAATGGAAACAACCTAAGTGTCCATCAGTAGATGAATGGATAAAGAAGATGTGGTACATATACACAATGGAATATTATTCAGCTATAAGAAGAAAACAAATCCTACCATTTGCAACAACATTCATGGAGCTACAGGGTATTATGCTCAGTGAAATAAGCCAGATGGAGAAAGACAAGTATCAAATGATTTTACTCATCTGTGAAGTATAAGAACAAAGCAAGAACTGAAGGAACAAAATAGCAGCAGAATCACAGAACCCAAGAATGGACTAACAGTTACCAAAGGGAAAAAGGGAGTGGGGAGGGTATGTGGGAAGGGAGGGACATGGGGGAAAAAGGGGCATTATGATTAGCAGACATAATATACAGCAGGGGTGGGGGTGGGGGTGGGGGACGGAAAGGCTGTACAACACAGAGAAAACAAGTAGTGATTCTATAGCATCTTACTACACTGACGGACAGTGCCTGTAATTGGGTATGTGGTGGAGACTTGATGATGGGGGAGTCTAGTAACCATAATGTTGCTCATGTAATTGTAGATTAATGATACCAAAATAAAAATAAAATAAAATAAAATAATAAAAAATAAAAAGCAGACACAAATAAAATAATACTGACCCTACCCCAATGCTCCATCAGAAAACAAGAGCTATGATAGATGGGGGAAGGGATTTAGAATGGACATTCTGAATGCATACTAAAGTACACGTGTCTTAGTGTACTTGCAGAACCTAGAAACCCACTTAACTCCTTTTCATAGCAATAAAATTATCAGGCCTTCCTTGATGGGTATGGGTAAAATAAGTAGCCTCAAAGTGTAAATTTTTTTTCCTCTGTCCACTCCCAAACACTGCAGTTCCCCAGAGTTCTCTACTGATCTCCTCATCTCCTTACACCTTTTCTTTGATCCTATCTGCTTTTGTGGTCTTAACACTTAGGCGCATCCTCAGCTCTTTACAGTAGTCCCTAAAGTGTGCACCTGAGCTTCAGACCTGTGTTATCTATCTGCCTGCTGCAAAGACTTCAAACTCAGGAGATCTAAACTGAACTGGTTCTCGTCTTCATCTACTTGCCAAACATACTGTTCGTGACCTTGAGTTCAGTTAGATACCACCTTGTTACACAAGCCAGAGGCCTGCCTGTCATCTTAGGTTCTTTCATCTCTCTTACTCCATATCCAACCAGTCACCAAGTTCTTCCAATCTGAGTGCTGAACTAGTCTCAAATCTACCTGGTCTGCTCTATCCGTACTATTCTACTTCAGTTCAGGCCCTCATTATGTCTCCTGCAACACACCCACAGCCCCTCAACAACACTTTGCCTCACCCTTAAGTCCATATTCCATGCTACTAAGAAGCAAATCTCACCATGCTGAAAACCCTTCCATGGCTCTGAACCATTCAGCAATATCCAATCAGCCCCAATTAAATATATATATAAAGGTCCTCTATCACCTGATCCCAACCTCTTCTCTCAGGTACCACTCCCCACCTCAAATTTTACTCTAACATGCAGAGTTACACAACTTGAGCTATAAAACAAAAAACTACAAATGGTTTTTGTATTACAATTTATTTTGTATTATGAATTACAATGGTTCTGCTTATGATTTTTTGACTTTATGATGGTGCAAAAGCAATATGCATTCAGTAGAAAATGTACTAAGGACTTTGAATTTTGATCTTTTTCTGGGCTGGCGAGCCACAGCGAGCCACAGCTCCCAGCCAGCCCCAGGCACCAGGATGAACCAGTATACTTACAGCCATTCCGACAGTATACTGTCAACCAGCTATGAAAGTTACTTAAGATACATGCATGAGCTGTATCATCCATTTACATTGTTTTCGGGCCAATTTATTCATCACTATTTTACAACTAGAAATAATTATTATTAACCACAGCAGGAGAGTATCATGGCCAAAATTAGAATAACTAATGTAAGAGGATGCCATATTAATTAATGTTTAGAAATTTCTCCAGAATATCAACAGTACTTGGGGTTAAAGAAAATCTCTGGGGAACGTAAATTAAAGATATATTCAAATTAATAAGTAAGGGGACTCCAGGTGATCTGAGGACAACTAAGCTTCCTAGTTACCCAATGTATGGGTTTCCCTGCTTTTCAACAGTTCACATTATATCACTGTTTTTACAAAAGACCTGTATTAGTATCTTTTAATTATCCAAAGAAATCAGAAGAGGATTTTTCCCTTTGACAGAAAGGCAAAAAACAAAGTGTTCAGCATTTGTTTCGTAGTGAGCTTTTACAGAGAGCATGCACATCCCAAGCAGTGACAGTGGCACTAAGCTTTTCTTAGTGAGAGTGGTCCACCAAATTTCTTCCCCAAACTACACTCAGCCACAGCATCAAGCCACCATAGCTTTGAACTGTGTCTGTGAGCATCTGTGCTTTATTTATTCTGTGCATCCATTAGCAAGAAGTACCCTAGGATGTCAGAAAAGCCTACGAGAGGTGATTTTTTTGGGTTTGAGAAAACTCAAAAATTTTTCTACATAAATGAATGGTAATTGCTTTTTTGCTTAAAGCCATTTCAGTTTAGGAAAGGTTTCATAGAAATGGTCAACTTTCAGATATTGGGGGAATTCCACTTGAAAAAAGCATATACCTAAGGAAATTTTTCCAAGTAGCAGTTACAGAATTCCTAAAATCAGCCCTGTTGCTCAATTACAGTAAAAGTTTGGAAAACTAAAAGTAGATGCTCTCTGTTGCCCTCAGAGGTGGCAGACTACAGTGCATTTTTCAATTCCAAAATTACGCACAGGTTTATGTTTACCCACCAAGCCCAACCATGTCAAACCAAATAGCTATTAATTCACAATCAGGAAAGAGAACAAAAGTTTATGTCTGATCAGCGTAACACTAAATTGACTTGTTGATCATACATTGAAAACAGGAGGTATGTATCTCATAAAGTTTTATTCTAACTTGTTTCAGGTTTCTCCATTTTCAGAAGTAAGCCTCTGCAGTTAACAGCGTTATGACTATGTAGTATTAGATGATTCGTGTGTAGAGAGAGATTAGGTGAAAGGGAAAAGTTAATGCTTTTATGCTGCATAGTTTTCAGCAGTAAATTTAGGTCCGGAACTCTATAAACAGAAATATGATATCACATAGAACTTGGAGACAGATTTAAGTGTGGCCCTGTTTGGTTTCTGAGACCTTTTATGCCCAGGTGGCTGGGTTGTTAGTTTAACCACAAAGATTTGAGCCGTTATCAGTTGTAATTACATCTGGACAAATAATCTTCAAATAAACACCATACAACCTAGATCCGTGACCGCCATTAGCTCCGCAGAATAACGGCCACTTAACTAAATTAAGATACTAAAATCTTAGGTCGATTTAACTGGATGTTGATTCTCTGCCAACATAAGTAAAAAAAACAGCATGAAACTAAAGGTTTATAAAAATCATCCGATGAGCAGAAGGCCAGTAACTTCACAAAGAAAAGGACGACTTGGGACTTTACCAGTACTTAACCCATCACGGCAGGTAAGGTAAACTCAGTGCACTGTTCCCCTAATAAAGCGACTCCACCCACCATCCGTCTGAGAAGAGCACTGATTCCCGCCCTTTGGTTAAAACCCAGGGGTTTTCACAGGAATCATCGAACTGGCATAAAATGAAGAACCATTAGGTGACTTCTGGAATTGCGAGCTACTCAGAAAATGTGCTCTCCAGGGTACACTACCTAACATCGCTCAGCTGTCGGAAACCGAGGGCCCTTTGGGGTCCGCGGCGCCCGACCCTGGGCACCCGGCCGGCCCCGAGCGAGGCTGCGCCCTGGCGGCCCCCCGGGAAGCCTGCGGCCCCGGGCCCCGAGGTCTCCGGCCGCCACGTCTGTGACACCGGGTCCCGTGCGCGAACGCTCCGCGCATTTAACCTCAGCCGCCCGCGGGGCGCGGGGGACCCAGGCGGCGCCTCGGCCCCTCGCTCGGGCGCAGGGCGGAAAGTGCGCGGGGAAGGCCGGCGCGAGGCTCGGGCCCGGGAGCCCGCTACCGCAGCCCGCCTTGGCGGCCAGGGTGCCACGCGGGACCCGGGAGGAACGCCGGCCAGGAGCGCGGCCTCCGCTCTTACCATGGCGCGGGCGGCGGGCCTTCCGGCGGCGGGTCCTGCGCGCCGGGCGAGGGGCGGGGCAGCCCGGCCGGTTCGGGTTTGGCGCCGACACAGCCTGGGGGCGGCGCGGCGAAGGGCGGGAGCGCGGCGCGCGGCGCCCCCTGGCGGCTGCGGGGAGCGAGCGGCCGCGCAGACTCGAGGTTCCGGCGAGACGGGCGTCCCCGCTGCTCCCGCCTCTCCTCGGCTGGGTGTTGACCGAGACTATTTTTTTAAGGAGTTTTGGGCCCCCGCTTTAGTGCGCCTGCTCCCCACGCGGCGGAGGCTCGGCCTACGTTTACCTTAGAAAATAGAGGCGGCTTGCCTTTCGGGGAAGGAACCGCTGCGTCCGTCCACCCGGGTTTGCCCGGTTTGGGGCGGCCTTTTCTCCCTTCTAATTTTACACCTCATCTTCCCTCCAACTGCTGTCCACTGCTTTTCTAGCTTTAAAAACTACTTTTGTGTCTGTGTTTGCTTTTCCCTTCGTTTTTGTTTTTTAAAATAAACAAGGAAATGAATTTCAAGTCAAATGGTTGAACATAACGTTACTTCATGACCAGACAAGATGGGGATTCCGATTTGAAGCCCGGGTCCCTTCCCCCTGAAAGTGCCACAAAATTAACGCAGTCTTTTCAATGAGTGTGAAAACTATTGTACGTTATTTTGAACTACTTTCAAATATAATTTTTCTAAAAACAAAGGTTTTTCTGTTTTTGTAGAACAAACTTTTGTAAAAACAGTTACATCTAAAATAGGAATTTCTATCTCCTCTGGCTTCTTACAGAAGGGAAAGGGAGATACGGAATTGCTTGGACTTACATTAATTTAGTTATTCCTACAGTGCATTACAGTAAGATGGATGGTACACGAGATGATTTTAAAGTAGTAAATGGGTAGCCATTTAATAAATTTTATGTACTAGAAAAAATATAATTAGCACATTATTCTCTAGATTTCTCATGCATTGCTCAAGATCCAGCTTAAGTATGTACATCAGTAAAAAAGTGAGTGTATCTCCAGCTGGAAAAAATCCCAGGGCAAAAATACCTTTGAAGCCGAATCAGTCAAAGGGAGAAATAAAGTTTAAGGAACCCGTTTATTTCTTACAAGCAGTCATCCCGTCTCTCTCTTGACCCGGCTGCAGCAGAAGAGAGCTCCACCCAACCTCTCTCCCGTCCAGATACACCCTTGCAGGCCCTTGTAATCACCTACTGACATGTAGATGAACTACTCTCTCCACCCCTTGGAAACACCTATTTATATGCAGATGTATTAAAGCCAGGTGAGAGATTCTGGAAATATCACAATTTCACCCACAGTGATATTTAAGAAAAATATTAAGTAATATATTGGAGATATATAGATTTGACAAAAATCATAAAGGCGGCATTTGTGGGAAGCCTTGCCTTAATTGGCTCTCAGCCTGCCCTACCTCTTGCACTCCACCTGAAACAGCCTTTCTTCACCTGGCTCACTCTTAATCCATCCTTTGGACAGGCTGGATACAGATGTCAGGAACCTTTTTCTCTCTTCCTTCCCACTCCACCCTGCAGGCAGATAAGGTCCCTTTTATGATATACTATAGCATCTGTACAGTTCTATCATAGCACCCCACATTCATTTTGTAGTTGTTTATTTGGTCAGCTTTCCTACAGTATCCTTTCTGTGACAGAGACTAAGCCAACCATTTCAGTATTACAGGGCCTAGCACAGTGCCAGACACATGGTAAACAAGCACTCAATAAATGTGTAATAAATAAGTATACCAGGTATTTAAGAACACCATCTTGTCGTTGATTTGGGGATAACTAGATATGGTTTTCAGCTGAAAAACCAAAGGATATTTCACTTTTCTAAAACCTTAATTATTTGCATTGAGTTGTGCTTTCCCATTTACCATTTTCACCAACAGAATTCTGAAATTATATATATGCGATTCAGATATGTTAAATTAACTAAGAAAGGAGGCCACTAGGCTGATGTGGTTCTAATACTGCCTAGGCCTACATATAAGCCTGTTAATATCTCAAGGTTATAAAGTCAAGATTTCCCTAAATGATTAGGGAAAACTAATCACAAACAGCCAACTAGGCTTTAAGTTACAGCTGAGCAAATAATTTCCTTTATTTGCTTCTGCCCTTTATTTTATCTAAGTCTTCCCCCCTGGCTTCTAATGGCAAAGTGCTAACCACTTCCAGTTTCGCGCCGCCCAGTTGAAATTGACTTTTTGCTCAAACTCAAAATTTCTCATCTGCCTCAGTTCATCTTTTATCAGATGTCTGGGGATGCTCCAAGTCTTGCCATATCAGGGCATTAGTAGATGTTATAAGTTTTTAAGTATGAAAGCAAATAAATATCAGTGGCATCTGAAAAGTATTCACGCATTTGGATCCTGTGTCCCCCATCTAGCATTTGTTACAGTACCCAAATAGCATTTGTTTCTTGAACAAATCTGTGCCTTACAAAATCTTTACACATAAATTTATTTCTTTTTACTTTATCTGCTGCCTGTGAAGTGTGTGAAGATAAACCAGACAGGCCACATATCCTTAAGGAGCTTATATTCTAGTCAGTGTTGGCCTTCCATCTGGGCGACCAGCACTTGCCCTAGCCCCTGCTCTGCAGAGGGCTATGTTGTCCCTACTCCAGCCACGTCCCTCCCCATAAGCAGAGCCACAGGGACATGCCCACCTATTATGCATAACCTCCCCTTCTAGACCAAAGACCTGGAACCCAGAATCCCCCATCTGTCTTAATTTGCATTCCTTGAAAAACATGACAAAGATGTGCTGGTAATTTATCTGGGAGTGAGGAAGCAATGAGGGTGAGACAGGAAAAGAGGAAAACCACTAAACAAGTGTGCACTTCCCAGTCTGGACATTTAAAACCTTTACAAACCTCTTTCTTTGACCAAGAGAATGGAAGAGGTTGTGGAAGGAGAGAAACAGGGGAGACGAGACCTGAGGACAGAACTTCCCTGGAGAGGATGTTATGAAGCTCTAGGTGACTTTTGGGCCCTTGGCCTCTTTCTGCATCTCTAAACCCTAGAATTCTTTCTGCAGAGAGTGTAGTTCTTGCCATATCCTCTCTGCCATGAACTCTCTGCCAGCTGGGCTGTCTAAACCACAGCTAGGAGCTCAAGCCAAAGGCAGCATATACAAGAAGAATATAAGGCAGGACACACTTGCCTCTGAGGTGTCCAAGGTGGCCTTGGACAATGACAAATTGACCCAGTTAGGTTTTCTTTTTGGAAAGATGAGTGTTAAGTGGACATAGAGAGGGTTGGTCATTGGCTCACTGGACTGTTGTTACAGTTCTCTGTATTTCCTGGTGTGCGTCCCTGTCTTGGAATACCAAATCTCAGAATGACTACCACCGAGGAGAAGAGATGCAGTCTACCGCCTCTAGGTCCCTTGCATTCTCAGGAAATGCACCCCAAACTGAAGATGACCTCATGGACTTTCCTTGAAATTCTGAAAAGCATGACCTATAAAAGAAGCTTTGTTATTAAGGAAGTAGGAAAAGAAAGCAAAGTCATTTGAAAGAGACAGAGGGAGAAGTCTAAAAGGTACGAAAAGAAGAATGAGAAACCAAAAGGAGAAAATTTCAAGGAAGAAATAGTCAACATTATCAAGCTCTCGGTCATACCACATCTCCTGAGTTAGAAATGACAATTCTATTATGTCATTTGTGCAGAGCATCAGTCTCAATGGAGGCAATACCCAAACTGGCCCATGGGGGATAGAGAAATCTCAGATGGTGAAGGTTACAGTACATAAGCAATATATGGTATATGTCTGGTATTAAAATTTCATGGGAGTGGAGGTGGGAGATTAGGGGAAAAAATGTCTAAAACCACTCCTTATGAGGATAATGGAAAAAAACATTGAAAAACACTGGTGTAGAGGAAGTATATAATTTATCATCCAAGTTGGGGCACATCTGAGAATGAAAGGAACTGCATTTATAATCATCACAGGATTTTCCCCCTCAGTCATGTGATAACTTGGAATTTCCATTGTGCTTTATTAACATTTCTCTTATGGCTCTTAACTTGCTCTGTATCATAGTTACTGATGCTCCTTTAATCTTTCCATTTGGGTTAGGCATGTGGAGCCTGCACTTACCTAGCAAGTATCCCAATGCCTAAGGGAGTATGGCAATAAATAGCCAATTTAAAAAATCTAAGCAATAACAAACTGCAGCTCTAACAGAGTCCCTGGTCTGCTCTGGAAAGGAATGCATCTGGCTGCACGTGAACTGAGCTTCTGAAGGGCCATCAGAGATGTGCTGAAATACAGGGCTCAGGAATGCCCTCCCTCTGATTCTGAGCACCTCCAAAGAGCTCACTATGGCAATGGTGACTCTTGGTTAAAAGAAAAGAAATAAGTGCAGAATAGAAGTAGGATTCAATGACACTATCAGGCAGTTATTAGTTAGCAGAGTCATATTTGGTCATTTTCTCATTTCTGCTGTTTTCCATCTTCTTCCAAGACTAACTCATGTATCTCTTTCAGATTTGCAATCCATGATAGATTTTTTTAACCCTTGAAAAAACAATTTTTTGTGTGTCCCAACATTGTTCACAAAGGATACTCAAAAGATAAATTGCAGTGTTCATTCCATCACAGTAAGATATTGATCGAGGACAATGAAAAATGAAAAAGCTTATAAATACATCAGGAAAAAATGTTGAATGCATATGTATAAGACAATGACTTGTTTACGACAAGGAAGAAAGACACAAGTCCTTCATAGAAGAACAAAAGTACAAGCATCAAACCTATGCACCACTTAAGACTGAGAGCTTACCTATTGTCAACTCTTCTGGGGAAGATACTGGTGTGTCAGTAAGCAGCATTAAAATGACAGCTTTGACATGAATAGAGAGTAACACTTAAGAAATGTTTACTCAATTTAAGGAAAACCATGGAAACTAACTTCTTTGAAAGGATATGACAGTGATACCCTACAACTTGTACATTTACCATTAGGTTCCTGAACAGTGGAACCCTTCAGAGGACTTTAGATGGTTTGAGTACTGCTTGAAATGTGTGGCCAAAACCTTGCTGTAATATAGAAATTTTTATTACAATGAATTTCATTTTAATTAAATTCTCAACCCTAAAGACTATTTACAGTGAGGTCTCTGTGTAATCCTTCACCTCTTAGAGATAGTCGTGACTGTCATGACTGCCAGAGCGTCTATCTTGCGAATCTTTAAGGATTATAAGGATGGTGATTTTGACTTTCTAAATGTATATGTGGTACATACATGTCATGATTTTCCAAATTGCTATTTAAGATACATTTGAATGCTAACAGATTATTAGCATCACAAACAACAAAAATTTTACTGTTTTTCCTTACTAGTATAAACAGTTTGGTTGAGGTATTGCCATCCTCCTGCAACATTCCTTCATTTCCCTTTACTAAAACATAGAACAATATATTAAACAAAAAAAATTCACCCTGGAAACAGAGAAAACAAGTTTATTTTAATGATTTGAGATTTTGTGCATGGTAAAGATATACACGTGAATCAATCTTGTTTCTCCTATGTTTCAAGACAGAATTAATTGAAAGTTTTTTGTAGACTAAAGCATCCAAAATACTGTGGTTATGTATGTAGCTACGAACGTACAAACACTTTGATGCACAGCGTTCATTCTTTAAATAGGCAGTCAGCATTTTGATTCATAAAAGAACAAACGATGAGAATATATCAGTATCAATGTCAGAGAGCACAAGACTTAGTGTTCTATACACAAACATATGAAACAGACCTATAAAGATGGAATGTACAAAATTTAAAGAGAAATAAGAAGGAAGCAAAACATCTTCATACTCATACATAGGATTGAAAGGCTACAGAATTGAGAATGATATAAATAATTCCATTACAAGAATACACTCTGTTGATGACAGAACATTCCATGTCATAAAGCAGAAGCACTGACTTTAAGGCTGTGTTGCTTTTGAAGTTAATGGAAGTGCTGTACATTCATTGAAACAACATAGCCAATTTATTAATCTATTTCAGAATATTAATAGCTTCCATACATTCTCCACAGACAACACAATCACTGCCACACAGTTCATCTTCAGAAAGCTTAAGATTAACATCATGATTTGTAGCTTACTGTCATTTAAAACAAAACAAATAATTATTTATTTATACCAAACAAATCTTTAATGGGCACTTAGTTTCCTTATGGCAATACTAGATTCCTAGTTATCAAAAATATTAAAATAATTGTAAAGTTTAAAACCCTGCAACACTTATAGAATGCAACGGTATTGTGACTTTTCAGTTTCAAGCAAAATTAGACGATGTTTGCAGCAAATACCTCAATTTTAGCCTGCCTGGAAATGTCTTTCTTTTTAAATCATTAAGTTCAAAATACTCCTCCCTTTTCAGAAGCTGGTGAGTAGGGAGGGAGGACACTATATAGAGTCCAAATGTACAAAAAAAGGTTTTTCCCATTTGAAGTAATCTGCAGATTACCTGATGTGTAGTTGCTATTTCCTCCAATTCACTCGGTAGACATTACCACAGCATTTATGTGACCCCTTTAATGTTAAGGATCCATAAACACTTGCTTATGTACTGCTATCCCAGTTAACTGTGTTAGGACATACCCTGTATATTTATACTAGAAGCAACTGTATTCTAGTTGCATGGACCTGTAGTATTTATTTGCCTCAAATCTAGTCAAAGAGTACATTAAAAAAGAAAACTTGGGGACTGGTTTAGCTACTGGAGACTAAAGTTTGATCCAGATACTAAGTACTATTAAAAAAAAAAGGTGAATGGTCATAAATGCTTTTTATTCATGTGTTTCTGGATGGCCAAGTGACTCCCTACCTCCCCGTGTCCAGCAGGGGAAGTCTGTATTGGGAGGGAATACAATGTCTCTGACCTTTACATTCTAACTGGCAATATTTTGCCATAAGTGCCCCAGGGAAATTTGAATGGGTAATTTTTCAGTGCTACTTATCATGAATGTATGACAGGTTCCGTACACTTGACAAAGAGAAATCAAACAATGATAGCCCAGAAAATAGTCACTTATTTTAATATCCTTCTCAGTTTACCAGACACCGTATTCCATAGAATGTGACAAAATTTCATTTTCTTGTCTAGTCATATCTTATCAACAGCACTTTTCCCCCTAAAATATGCTTACCAAGAAATACAGTAAATGCACATATGTATCAAAAGTGGAGTGTTTTCCATACTTTAACATATATGATTATATTTTTCAGGGGGGGGTGATGCAGAATATAGTGTTTCCTGGAGTGTCCACAGCATGTGTTTTAGTAACGGATAGTGGAACAGGTCTGAATCAAAGTACCGATTCTTTCATTTCAGTTTGCCAGGATTAACATGTTGAATAATTAGCTCTTTTGGAAAAGCCATCAAGCCTGACATGGTATGATGGCTGGTTAATTTTTAAATTCACAAGTATAATTTAAGTGTTATGCAAAAAAACCCTTTAAGTAAACTAGCTGTAAGATCAATAGCCTGTGACAGAATCTAAATTGGAATTCACTGTTACTTGTGAAAATAAACTAAAATCAATTTGACCAATTAAAAAAAATTTCTTTTCAACAGTCTAAGAGCTTTAAAGAGTCTAGTTAATCTTTCATGCAGAACGTTAGTCAATGGCAAAATGAAATTCCATTCCTAGAGTGTAAACTCCAAGGGGGAAGAGATTTTTGTCTGTTTTATCCATCACTCTGTCACCAGTGCCTAGAATAGCTCCTGGCACCTAGTAGGCACTCGTTAAAAATGAATGTTTAAATTCAAAGACTTATTTCACTGCCATTAGGAAACAGTGTTTTAGTTTAACATTTTTAAAATGTTACTGAATTCTGTAACTTTAGCACAGTCTCAAATATTTTGAAACACCTTACTAAAAAAAACTACACCTAAATGCAAATCTTCCTGAAAAGTTTTTTTCAGAGGTTGATTTGGGCATAATAAATTTGATAGACAGTTGGACGTAGCTAGATTTCCCTTCTAAATTTAAAACAGTCCCATTTAAGAGAATGACTGGATCATAAATTAATAAGCAATAAACATCACATTCATGTAATTATACATGTGGGAAATGTTTTCTTATAGTTCTAAGGTGCTTTCAGTGAAAAAGATCCCAAAGTCATTATTGAAAATGTCCAACATGGCATCCTATTTGGTAGAACTGAGTAGAAAATTAAACACGGGGAAGACACCACACGTCATCTTATGGTATCAGTGACAGAGTTAATGATTGACTAAATTATTCTGAACATTTCTCAAAATGTATGTATACTCAGTTTAAATTAAATGCATACTCAAGTTCAACTTTTACCGTTGACCTGTTTTTGTGTTTTGTTTTTGGAAGCACAGAAGGCCATATTCTGACTAAAAGTCAACTGATACCATCATTCCTGGAAAATGGCAAAAATTAAATCTGCGTTAGGGATTGCTCTACTGGGACGGCTTTAAAACTGCGCAGTAAAGGAACATGCTGAAGGCTGGGCAATGCTTCAGGCTTTCAGAGTGCTGTCTATTTCAATACACCAAAGAATCAGCAATATGTATATGTATATATATGAGATACATTCTACCTTACCCTAATCATGTATACATAGTCCTTTAATACCTCTACTAGTCATTAGACAATGATAAATAACCATAACATGCCCTTACCTGTAATGCTTTCGAGATAACACAACTTTGGTAACACTTGCTTTCTAAGGGGAAACCATTAATTAATCACATGCCTTTGGTCGACACCATCAGTCCTCCAAAGGGCTGCTATGGCTCTCTGTCCTAGGATACTGGTGCCCTACAACATGTGCTGACATTCTGCAGGAGGTAAAGCTTTTGCTCTCATGAAGCGGAAGGGGGGAGACACATGTGAGAACATGGCACATAAAATGTGACTAACATTTCTTGATTACATTCCAGTGCATTAATCTGGAGTTAAGGGGGTTCTTTGTTTACCAAAAGGTGGCATCACTATTGTATATGTTTTTTCAAAGCATTAGGAATTTCAGGTTTCCCTGAAAAGGTACTTTGTTTTTTTGATACAAGGGGAACAGGAGGGAGAAGGTGAGAACTCACAAAAAGGATCTCTGATCTAACCCAGGAAGGATGGGACATTTGCATTGATTTTCAAGTGCTAAACTCCAGAGGCCTGCTAATCACGGCTGGGAGGACTTTGTAAAACTTATTTTTAACTAAAGTAATTTAAATGTAGTTATTGATAACCAAAAAATGTCACAAGAGTAATACCTACTGTAAAAGTGAGGTTAGAAGATCCCCGGTCTTGTGACTGAGGTTAAATAAAGTATGTAACTACAACAGGTTTTGCTTTGTGTTGTTTTGTTTTTGGAAGCTCTGTGCAAAAGCAACCATTCACAGGATTCACAAATACCTTGAAATATTCTAGTTGTTTTTAATGCTTGTTTGATTTGCAAAATTAGTTTAACTACATAAATCCCTGTCCTATAAGCCATAGTTCACAGGTGAAAAACTTTGCAGTTTTCATAGTCAGTAGAAGAGACTTCTTTTTTAATCCTAAAGGCAAATTACCAATCAGAGATTCACTTTTTAAGGAAATTGTTACATTCAGAAATAACCTTGGAAAGTTCACCAATGATTCCTCCTAGCGTGAAAAGTCTAGTATAATGTGGTCCCGCGTTGAGAAATCCATTCCAGTTTATAGTGCAAGACCTTTGCAAGGGAGTATCCAGCTGCCCACCATCACTGTAAGTACCGGTAGACCTTGAAACAGTGGTTTCCAGAGTCTGCAACCACAACATGGCCATCTGAAGTGAGGGCCAGGCCTTGGGGGCCATACAGTGGGTCAGCAGATGTGTTAATATAGGACAAAAATGATCCACTGCCATCAAAAACCTGTAAAAGATACAGTCAGTGTTACAGGAAAAGTTATAGTCATATGATGAAGTAGGAGTTAGAAAATCCTTGATGCCAATGTTTTTAATAGGAAAGCATGTGTGCAACAACTTCTAGGTTTGCCTAGGTCACTGTCAGACACACATCCCTCCCTCCACTCACCTTGCATTTTCTCCTCACTTTCTATGCCTCAGTCACTGACAATGTGCCATTGGTCACCAGATCTCACTTCTGTTCTTACGGTGGTCGGTCACATTTGAGGAGAATGGCCCTGAATGGCACTTAGCAATGAATGACCCTTATTTTCTACTCTAAGCCTTATCTTTTTCCTTTCCCAGCCTAACATCTCTTTTTTATTTCCAGTCATTAGACAGAAATATCAGCAACTAGACCACACAAGAATGGACCTGAGTCATAACAGGTAATGAGACAATAGAGATCAGAGATCTTCTTCTTTCTTTTCACAAAAGAGCGAGTCCTATGAAGTCAATGGTTCAACATGTACATTTGGAAACGAAGTAGTCTTCTTTAGGTCTGTAAGCTTCTGCTATCATGAAATAAAAGGAAAACTTCTCCTTCACAAGGCCCAGGCTGGTTTATTTTGATCATTCTTTTTGGCTCATTGCTGTTTTAAAAGGCAGTGTAAATAGGCAGGTGCTATTAGTGATACAATACAAACAGGTTAGCATCTGTGTTCTATACAGAACTGCTTTGTGGACTTTATTCCCTGTCTGGCTTCTGGCTTCCCATCAGATATAGAACACCTTTTTCAAATGTAGATGCCCACTGGGATGGTTAAGCAAGATAATTATACTGGAGAAATGAAAGCATTTAGTGTTACATTTATAGTGTCAGTCCTTTTTCTGAGTAGATACCTTTATCAGATCAAACTGCTGGCCATTGCTGTCTTCAGAGGCATCTGAATGCTACTAGATTTAACCATGCATTCTGTGTTCTCAGGGGCACAGCATAGGGCCACACTGGCAAGGATGAATAGACCTGCCTTTAAATGCATTTAGATCCATGCAGGTGTCTACACAGAGAAATGGGGGAAATGAATAGTCTTTCTTCATTTTGAGGATTTAAAGTTCTGTTCTTAATTTAGAAAAAAATGAAGTTTCTTTTGTATCATAGACCCCTTTGGTACTACTGCCAAAGACTATAGACCCCATCTCAAAATAGTGCTTTAATGTTTCCAGAATGTGACCAGTTTTATTATTTTTATACCCAAAATACCAATGCCATTCATGATACCATTATTCCTAAACCATGAAAACATATTTAAATTCCTTATTATTATTAATTTAAATTTGTTTTACTTAACTTTAAAATAATTACAAATGTATAGGAAGTTGTGAAGATAGTAGAGAGATCCTGTGTACCCTTCACCCAGTTCCCCTGCAATGGTTACATCCTCTGTAATGCAGTACAGTATATGATCTAGCAAACGGACATTAGGATGTGTGTGTATGTGTGTGTATGTGTATACATGCATTGTATCTCAAAGGCAGACTCATGTAACCATGACCACAGTCAATATACATGACTATCCCATCAACCAAAGATCTCCCTCACACTCTTTATTGTCACACCAACTGTCCTTTCCCCGCCAGCTCTAACTCTTGCCAACCACTAACCTGTTTTCCTTCTCTATAATTGTGTTATTTTGAGAATGTTACGTGAATGGAAACATATAGTATGGGATCTTTTGAAAGTGGTTTTTTACTCAGCTTGATGCCCTTGAGATGCATCTGAGTTACTGAGTGTATCATTAGTCTGTTCCTTTTTATTGCTGAGTGGTATTCCATTGTATGGATATAGCAGCTTGTCTAGCCATTGACCTATCAAAGGACATCTTGGTTATTTTCAGGTTTTGGCAATTACAAATAAAGTTTCTATGAACAACAACATGCACAATTTTGTGTGGATGTAAGTTCTCATTTCTCTGGGATAAATGCCCAGGAATGTAAATGCTGGGTTGTATGGTATGTTTAATTTTTAAAGAATTGTCAAACTATTTTCAAGGCTGCTTGTCATTTTACATTCCCAATAGCAATGTGTAAGATTTAGTGTCTCTGTATGTTTATCAGCATTTGGCATAATCAATATTTTTAATTTTAGCTATTGTAATAAGTGTAGTAGTATCTCATCATGATCTTACTTGGTACTTTCTTAATGTCTAATGATATAGAACATCTTTTCATGTATATATATTCTCTTCAGTGAAATTTCTCCTCATGTCTTTTGCCCATTTTCTAATTGGGTTATTTGTTCTTTTACTTTTGGATTCTGAGAATCTACATATATTCTAAGTCTAAGTTATCTGTAAGATATGTGATTTATAAATGACTTCATTCATTTGTGGAGTATTAAAACAAAGCAAAACTAAAGGAACAAAACAGCAGCTGACTCACAGACTCCGAGAAGCGACTAGCAGTTACCAAAGAGAAGGGGTTGGGGAGGGTGGGAAGGGAGGGATTAGGGCATTAAGGGGCACTATAATTCACAATCACAATATAGGTAGGTCATAGGGAAGGCAGTACAGCACAGAGATGACAAGTAATGACTCTACAGTATCTTACTACACTGATAGACAGTGATCACAATGGAGTCAGGGATCTGGGGGACTTGATAATATGGGTGAATGTTTAAACCACAATGTTGTTCATGTGAAACCTTCATAAGATTGTGTATCAATGATACTTTAATTTAGAAAATCTAAAAAATAAAAGATACATGGTTTATAGATATCTTCTCCTAGTTTGTTGCTTATCTTTTTAACCCCTTAATGAGTCTTTCAAAGAGCAAAAGTTTTTAATTTTGATGAAGTCCAATTAAGTGATTTTTTTTTTCTTTTATGGATCATACTTTTGGTATCATGTCTAAAAATTCTTCACCAAGCCCTAGTTCCCAAAGATGTTCCCTTAAAACCTTCTACAAGTTTACCTTCTAAAATATAATCTTCTAAGTTTTGTGGCTTTACATTTTCCATTTAAATCTATGATCTATTTTGAATTAGTTTTTTGTATAAGGTGAAGCTCATTTTCTCTTCTCTTTGGGGAATCTTAATTGCTCCAGCACCATTTGTTGAAAAGGCTGTCATTCCTCCATTGAATTGCCTTTGTACCTTTGTCAAAAATTGGTTGGCTCTACATGTGTGGGTCTATTTCTGGATTCGCTATTCTGTTCCGCTGATCTATGTGCTTATCCCCCCACTGATATCACACAGTCTTAATTACTGTGGCTGTGTAATAGTTGTGTAATAAGTCATGAAATCAGGTAGAGTGATTCCTCTCACTTCAGTCTTTGTTAACATTACTTTAGCTATTCCGGTCTCTTTTCCTTTCCATATAAATTCTAAAATAATCTTGTCTGTATCTACAAAATTCCCTGCTGAGATTTTTCTGTTAAACTTGTATGTCGTCTGGGAATTTACTGAGTCTTGCACCTGTGAACACAGTATCTTTCCATTTCTTTAGAGCTTTTATTTCTTTTGTTATCATTTCATAGTTTTCATCATATAACTACTAGATAAGCTTGGTTATTATATCAAAATATTTCATTTTTTTCAGAAATTGTAAAGGGCATATATTTTTAATGTTGATTTCTACATGTTTGTTGCTACTTATGGAAATACAATTTGATTTTGTATGTTGGTCTTGTATCCTGTGATGTTGCTGAATTCACTTATTAGTTCAAAGAACTGTTTTGTAGATTCTTTGAGACGTTCTGTGTAAACAATCATGGTATCTGCAAATAGGGAGAGGTTTTATTTCTTCCTTTCTAATTTTTAAGCATCTTAATTTCTTTTTTTCCTTATTGTGCTGTTAGCACTCCCAGTACTATGTTGAATAAGAATGGTGAGAGTGGACATCCTTGTCTTATTCCTGATCTTAGAGGAAAAGCCTTCATTCATTCACCATTAAGTATGGTGTCAGCTGTAGGTTTTTGTAGATGTTCTTTACCAAACTGAGGTTTCTATATATTCCTAGTTTTCTGAGATTTAAAAAAAAATCATGAATGGGTATTAAATTCTGTCAAATACTTTTTCTGCATCAAATGATATAGATATTATCATATTATTTTTATTCTTTAGCCTTTGATACAGTGGATCACATGGATTTTTGAATACTGAATCAGCCTTGCATCTCTAGAATAAGCCCCACTTGGCCATGCAGGGATTTTTACATTTTGCTCAGTGTTATTTGCTACTGTTTTGCTAAGGATTTTCACATCTGTATTCATGAGGAATACGGTCTATAGTTTTCTTTTTTGTACAGTGTTATTCTAGTTTTGGTATCAGAACATCAGAATTGGAAAGTAAATTATTAATTGTTCCCTTGTCTTCTATTTTCTGGAAGAGACTCTATAGGTGCTAATTCTTCTTCACAATTTGGTAAAATCCTCCAGTGAAACCATCCTAGTCTGGAGAGTTCTCTTTGGGGAATTTTAAGATTATGAAATTTCCTTAGTATTATAGTGCTATTTAAATTATTTTATATTGGGTGAGTTGTGGAGTTTGTACTTTTTGAGGAATTGGTTCATTTCATCTAAACAGTCAAATTTATGCATGTAGAATTGTTTGTAGAATTTACTTGTTATCCTTTTGATGCCTGCAGGGTCTGTAATATTAGTATTTGTTTTTTCTTTTTCTTTGTCAGTCATACTAGAGGTTTATCAATTTTACTGATCTTTTAAAAGAGCACTGTTTCATTGATTGACTTTCTCTATTGTTCTTCTGTCTTGAATTTCAGTGGTTTCTGATCCTATTCTCACCATTTCCTTCCTTCTAGCTTTCAGTCTACTTTGCTCCTCTTTTTCCATGTGCTGGGAGCTTAGATTATTGATTTGAGACTTCCCTTTTTCTAATCCAAACATTTAGTGCTATTAATTTCCCTCTCAGGGAGACCTGGGGTTACCAAGACTGCGGGGTTGGAGGAAATAAGGAGAAGTTAGTCAAAGGGTACAAACTTCTGGTTAGAAGATAAGTAAGTGGTGGGGATCTAATGCACAATATGGTGATTATAGTTAATAATACTGTATGATATACTTGAAAGTGGTAAGAGAATGGATCTAAATGTTCTCACCACAAAAAAGAACTGGCAATTATCTAATGTGATAGAAGTTAGTTAACACTATGGTGGTAATCATTTTGCAAGATGTAAGTGTATCAAATCAACACATTGTACACATAAACTTACACAATGGTGTATGTCAATTACATCTCAAAGAAGCTGGGAAAAAAACTTCCCTCTCAGCATTATTTTAGCTGCATTCCTATAACATTGATATGCTACATTTGCATTTTCATTTAGTCTAATCTATTTTTTAGCTTTCCTTAAGACTTCTGCTTTGACTCAGGTCACTTAGAAGAATACTGTTTTTAAATGCGTAAAACAAAATACAAGCAATTATAAAGGAAAACTATACTAAATAACGTTATCAAAATATTACAAAATTGTGATCTAGCAATATGTGTGCTTTTTTAACCAACTTATTAAATAACAAAAAATAGTGATGGCTCTAAAAATGACTGTAATTTTGAAGTAGTGATGACCACAAATGTCTTTAACTGTTACATGAAAATTTCTCTGATTTCTCTTGGTGACAAAGTTATAATTACTAAAACTACTGTGGTTGTTGACATTCATAATTAAAGGAAATTATAATTTTTAGTTAGATGTTAGTAAAAATAATAATATAGTATTTTTGTTCAATGAGCCTCTTGAATTCTGTCCACAAATCTTTTGGGAGTCTGTGAAGACATGTATGCTGGGTTGTATGGTATGTTTAATTTTTAAAGAATTGTCAAACTATTTTCAAGGCTGCTTGTCATTTTACATTCCCAATAGCAATGTGTAAGATTTAGTGTCTCTGTATGTTTATCAGCATTTGGCATAATCAATATTTTTAATTTTAGCTATTGTAATAAGTGTAGTAATATCTCATCATGATCTTACTTGGTACTTTCTTAATGTCTAATGATATAGAACATCTTTTCATGTATATATATTCTCTTCAGTGAAATTTCTCCTCATGTCTTTTGCCCATTTTCTAATTGGGTTATTTGTTCTTTTACTTTTGGATTCTGAGAATCTACATATATTCTAAGTCTAAGTTATCTGTAAGATATGTGATTTATAAATGACTTCATTCATTTGTGGAGTATTAAAACAAAGCAAAACTAAAGGAACAAAACAGCAGCTGACTCACAGACTCCGAGAAGCGACTAGCAGTTACCAAAGAGAAGGGGTTGGGGAGGGTGGGAAGGGAGGGATTAGGGCATTAAGGGGCACTATAATTCACAATCACAATATAGGTAGGTCATAGGGAAGGCAGTACAGCACAGAGATGACAAGTAATGACTCTACAGTATCTTACTACACTGATAGACAGTGATCACAATGGAGTCAGGGATCTGGGGGACTTGATAATATGGGTGAATGTTTAAACCACAATGTTGTTCATGTGAAACCTTCATAAGATTGTGTATCAATGATACTTTAATTTAGAAAATCTAAAAAATAAAAGATACATGGTTTATAGATATCTTCTCCTAGTTTGTTGCTTATCTTTTTAACCCCTTAATGAGTCTTTCAAAGAGCAAAAGTTTTTAATTTTGATGAAGTCCAATTAAGTGATTTTTTTTTTCTTTTATGGATCATACTTTTGGTATCATGTCTAAAAATTCTTCACCAAGCCCTAGTTCCCAAAGATGTTCCCTTAAAACCTTCTACAAGTTTACCTTCTAAAATATAATCTTCTAAGTTTTGTGGCTTTACATTTTCCATTTAAATCTATGATCTATTTTGAATTAGTTTTTTGTATAAGGTGAAGCTCATTTTCTCTTCTCTTTGGGGAATCTTAATTGCTCCAGCACCATTTGTTGAAAAGGCTGTCATTCCTCCATTGAATTGCCTTTGTACCTTTGTCAAAAATTGGTTGGCTCTACATGTGTGGGTCTATTTCTGGATTCGCTATTCTGTTCCGCTGATCTATGTGCTTATCCCCCCACTGATATCACACAGTCTTAATTACTGTGGCTGTGTAATAGTTGTGTAATAAGTCATGAAATCAGGTAGAGTGATTCCTCTCACTTCAGTCTTTGTTAACATTACTTTAGCTATTCCGGTCTCTTTTCCTTTCCATATAAATTCTAAAATAATCTTGTCTGTATCTACAAAATTCCCTGCTGAGATTTTTCTGTTAAACTTGTATGTCGTCTGGGAATTTACTGAGTCTTGCACCTGTGAACACAGTATCTTTCCATTTCTTTAGAGCTTTTATTTCTTTTGTTATCATTTCATAGTTTTCATCATATAACTACTAGATAAGCTTGGTTATTATATCAAAATATTTCATTTTTTTCAGAAATTGTAAAGGGCATATATTTTTAATGTTGATTTCTACATGTTTGTTGCTACTTATGGAAATACAATTTGATTTTGTATGTTGGTCTTGTATCCTGTGATGTTGCTGAATTCACTTATTAGTTCAAAGAACTGTTTTGTAGATTCTTTGAGACGTTCTGTGTAAACAATCATGGTATCTGCAAATAGGGAGAGGTTTTATTTCTTCCTTTCTAATTTTTAAGCATCTTAATTTCTTTTTTTCCTTATTGTGCTGTTAGCACTCCCAGTACTATGTTGAATAAGAATGGTGAGAGTGGACATCCTTGTCTTATTCCTGATCTTAGAGGAAAAGCCTTCATTCATTCACCATTAAGTATGGTGTCAGCTGTAGGTTTTTGTAGATGTTCTTTACCAAACTGAGGTTTCTATATATTCCTAGTTTTCTGAGATTTAAAAAAAAATCATGAATGGGTATTAAATTCTGTCAAATACTTTTTCTGCATCAAATGATATAGATATTATCATATTATTTTTATTCTTTAGCCTTTGATACAGTGGATCACATGGATTTTTGAATACTGAATCAGCCTTGCATCTCTAGAATAAGCCCCACTTGGCCATGCAGGGATTTTTACATTTTGCTCAGTGTTATTTGCTACTGTTTTGCTAAGGATTTTCACATCTGTATTCATGAGGAATACGGTCTATAGTTTTCTTTTTTGTACAGTGTTATTCTAGTTTTGGTATCAGAACATCAGAATTGGAAAGTAAATTATTAATTGTTCCCTTGTCTTCTATTTTCTGGAAGAGACTCTATAGGTGCTAATTCTTCTTCACAATTTGGTAAAATCCTCCAGTGAAACCATCCTAGTCTGGAGAGTTCTCTTTGGGGAATTTTAAGATTATGAAATTTCCTTAGTATTATAGTGCTATTTAAATTATTTTATATTGGGTGAGTTGTGGAGTTTGTACTTTTTGAGGAATTGGTTCATTTCATCTAAACAGTCAAATTTATGCATGTAGAATTGTTTGTAGAATTTACTTGTTATCCTTTTGATGCCTGCAGGGTCTGTAATATTAGTATTTGTTTTTTCTTTTTCTTTGTCAGTCATACTAGAGGTTTATCAATTTTACTGATCTTTTAAAAGAGCACTGTTTCATTGATTGACTTTCTCTATTGTTCTTCTGTCTTGAATTTCAGTGGTTTCTGATCCTATTCTCACCATTTCCTTCCTTCTAGCTTTCAGTCTACTTTGCTCCTCTTTTTCCATGTGCTGGGAGCTTAGATTATTGATTTGAGACTTCCCTTTTTCTAATCCAAACATTTAGTGCTATTAATTTCCCTCTCAGGGAGACCTGGGGTTACCAAGACTGCGGGGTTGGAGGAAATAAGGAGAAGTTAGTCAAAGGGTACAAACTTCTGGTTAGAAGATAAGTAAGTGGTGGGGATCTAATGCACAATATGGTGATTATAGTTAATAATACTGTATGATATACTTGAAAGTGGTAAGAGAATGGATCTAAATGTTCTCACCACAAAAAAGAACTGGCAATTATCTAATGTGATAGAAGTTAGTTAACACTATGGTGGTAATCATTTTGCAAGATGTAAGTGTATCAAATCAACACATTGTACACATAAACTTACACAATGGTGTATGTCAATTACATCTCAAAGAAGCTGGGAAAAAAACTTCCCTCTCAGCATTATTTTAGCTGCATTCCTATAACATTGATATGCTACATTTGCATTTTCATTTAGTCTAATCTATTTTTTAGCTTTCCTTAAGACTTCTGCTTTGACTCAGGTCACTTAGAAGAATACTGTTTTTAAATGCGTAAAACAAAATACAAGCAATTATAAAGGAAAACTATACTAAATAACGTTATCAAAATATTACAAAATTGTGATCTAGCAATATGTGTGCTTTTTTAACCAACTTATTAAATAACAAAAAATAGTGATGGCTCTAAAAATGACTGTAATTTTGAAGTAGTGATGACCACAAATGTCTTTAACTGTTACATGAAAATTTCTCTGATTTCTCTTGGTGACAAAGTTATAATTACTAAAACTACTGTGGTTGTTGACATTCATAATTAAAGGAAATTATAATTTTTAGTTAGATGTTAGTAAAAATAATAATATAGTATTTTTGTTCAATGAGCCTCTTGAATTCTGTCCACAAATCTTTTGGGAGTCTGTGAAGACATGTTAAAAACCCAATTTAAAGATTTTTCACTCTGGTAATATGCTGATGTGTTTTCTATTCCACCTTCCTTAGGTCGGCACTTCTGGTGAGATTATCTACGATCTTATGTCCCAACCCATGAAAAATGGAAGACATTTTAGTTTGGTATGACAGACAGTTCTTTACTTTTAACAAATACCAATCACTTGAAACAAATACATTAGCATTTGAATCTACCTGAATCCTGCTGTTTCCCCAATCTGCTACAATAATGTTTCCATTTGAATCCACAGCTACGCCAGTGGGAGCATTAAATTGCCCATTTCCTTCTCCATTTGAGCCAAACTTCAACATGAATTCTCCTTCCTGATTAAACACCTGTATGAAATATTTTTAAATTGTCTTATTTTAAATGAAAACAGTTGAGCCAACATTATGGATTTAAAAAATATCTGAGCAGGTTATTTACAACAAGGCCTATTATTTAAAACATTCTAAAAAAAGAAAAAAATCTACAAACTAGGTCCCCATGTCATTATGGTTCCCCAATTCACTGTATAAATCTGATGTACTATGTGTTAAATCACTTCTTTTTTTTAGCTTATGTCTGATTATGTTGAATACTTAGATGAAAAATACATTCATTATAAATTTGAAATTTATGCAAAAATAAGGTAGTATTGGGTAAGCAGAGCTGTAATTTTCAGCAATATTATTCTTTCTGTCTTTAAGCAGCTAAATTTCAAGAACAGGCATTGTATTTCTAATAGGATGAATGATCATTCAAAGTTGGAACAGAATGTAGGAGCTTATTGCTAGGCCAGATGCTCAGGATTTATTACCATTTTAATAAGTCAACATAATGAGAAAGAGTAGGCTGGACTTTGCACTTCGGGGAAATTAATTGTGTGTGTGTGTGTGTGTGTGTGTGTGTGGTGGCGGCAGGGGGTAAGTAATAAGAAAAAGGCTTTTATACATATTTTATATTATGTGTACTTTATTACTTATATTTTATACATATTTTTAGAATATATCTTAATTAAAACAAAGTATATGGACCCTAAGGCTTTGATGAATGCAGCCTATTGAGAGAAGGGAGCTTGACAGAAGTGTGGAGCTAAACAGAACTCTTAGGCAAATTCTCTAATATCTGATATGGGCAAGCAATGGGTTGCCGGGGGAAATTAATATTCTTATTAATAGAGTGTTACTGTGTATGTATCAATACAAATTACTGATTTTGAGAGAATTAAATTTTTAATGTTTTTAATTATAAATTATAGCAAGGAAAACTTTATCTTGATTCAGATGACACTTAGTGGTTGTGATTTGTCTCTAGGATATTATTTTAAGTTTCTATTATCATGCAGCCTACATGTGTAGAAATACTCATTAAGAAATTAGAAAGTATTACATACAAGGTGCCATGACAGTAAGGGTTCCTAAAATGTGGAACTCGGGGAGCTAAGTGCGGATCTAGCCAGGATGATCTCAGGACCTTACAGAGATGCTCCTATGGCCATCTCTGTGATCATGAAAGATTAAAATGACTCTCTTTCTTTTAGCTGTTATATATTGGGAAAGTGAGGCACTTCTAATCTCTAAGGGCTAGACTTACTTTAAGATAAAAAGAGTTATGACCACTTACTGAATTAAACCACATACTTGCCAAGCAAGCAAGCTACCTTTCTGATTCTTTGGGAAGGACAGGGACAAGAATCAGCTTTTATTAAGATGTCATGTTTTAACAATCTTTCCTGACCCTTTAATCTCCTTTCACATAAAACATTCTTGTTTCAAAGATCAATGGGAGTAGCCTTTGTACTCTAGGATCTACATGGGTTATCTTCTCGTTGATTGCCCTATAGCTAAATGAACGATTCCTCTATAAAGTGAAATAAAGGGTAGGAAGTGTGAAAACAGCCTGTTATTCCTTTACAGTTGTGCTCACCATACAGGCCTGTTCTGACCCCCTGGCAGGAGAGTCAAAAGCCCAGCCTCTACTGCCTCTTTGCTCTGTTTCTTTCCTCCTTCACCACTGAATATCCCCACTGTCTTCTCGCTTTTACCAGGACACCTCCCAGTCCTCCAAAGAGAGAGAATATGCAGCTTCTTGCTATCAAGGAAGCAGGAAGGCTGAGGATGAAGCTCTACCCCATGACAGCAACTCTGGAGAGACAACCTGACAGGAAGCAGCCTTAGAAGTAAGCGATGATGGAATCCTCTGCCCTCATCCTGCCCCATCACCTGTCCACTGTGTTTTACTCTTTGCACAGGGACTTGGCCCCTGCCAAAAAGACTCAAGGCCTTTCCATTGACTCATGCTAAAGATCTCCTCCAGGATGAGCTGGAGAAATGAAGCAGTGAAGGACACAGAAGAGACAGTACTTTCGGGGGTAAAATCCCATTGTTATGTAGTTAGTCCAGCCATCAACACTGACAAACTGTTTGGGGCTTTGGTCGCTCAATGGTTATCTCTAAGTGCAAACTTTAGTCACTGGCATATCACCTATGCTATTTCCATACTATCCTTCCTTTAAAAGGCCTCATGTTAAAAAATTTAAATGAATTTATTTACAAGGAAAACTTTACATCACTTGTATAAGTGCAAACCAGTATCACTTGATGTAAATAGAGGGTAACTGTACAAGTAAACACATAACTTAAAATACAAATGTTTGTCAGTGCCCTGCCCATGACTGCCTTTAAGTGGAACTGTGTCACAGCTCAAGAAGCTTGGTCTAGAATGTCACTAAACATTCTCTCATTTCAGTAAGCGACAAATATGTTTTGAACCACTTTATTACTTCCTGATTTGCTCCTAATAAAGGTCAAGTCTTTCTTCTGCTAATACGTAGTAAGAAAGATGTACTCTACTATCTGGGGGAGGTGGGTGGGTGTTGTTTTCTAAGGAAAACCAGGTGTGTGAAGCATTCTAAGAAGTGTGCAGTAACCTGTATGAACATATCCTAGAGCTATTTCTCTCCCATAATCTGTCATTGCAGCAGAGTTCTAATAGCTACTTTTGTTTGAAAGGCCTTTGATGCTAACTGAAAGAGTGGTCTTGTTTTAATTTACTGACTAGTTACAAAATATTAAGTTTTTGGAAAGTTCTGCCTAAGTTCAAGCAACTGCTTTTTCATATTTAATTTTCAAATCATCTCCATTTACACCAGTTTCAAATTCAGAAATTTACTGGCACCATATTTTGTTCAATATTTTGATTGTCCAAAGTCTGTATGCCCAAATTAAAACCTCCATCTTTAAGAAGAAGCAAAATCTACTCTTTTAGGTCAATTCCTTTAGGTCTAGTGTGTACATGTGAGTATTATGTTTTCTCCCAGACCGATTTCTCAATAAAAACAGTTCAAAGGTAATAACAATTGATGTATTTATAGTACCTTGACAGAATGATTATGGAAATCTGTAACAATGATCTCATTATTGCTATTTACAGCTGCAAAGTGGGGACCTGCAATAAAAATGGAAAAAAATGTGATGACTGTAACAAAAATTATTACAACAGCAGAGCAGTTACCAAACCTAATATATTAAGTCAAGTTCCTTAAGAGAGAACAAAGACTCATAGAGTTAGTCCTTGAGAGATCAATCAGCCAGACCTCTGGCTCCAGATAACATGGATTCTGCATCATTCTACACTTTTAACTGTCTACTCCAGCTTCTTCCAGATCAAGCTAAGAGTTCCAGCAGCCCTAATAAAGTGGAATGAGCAACAGAATAGAAGCATCAGAATTCATTCTCCACACCACCATCTGAAAGTCACACCTGCCAGCTTCCCTGAGTACGTGTTAGTCATTTTAGGGCCCACAGCTCCCACTGAGGAGAGACATGGTAACGATCTAAGCGCTGGGAAAAAGACTCCAAAAGGTAGTATGTTTTGACAGTAGAGCAGAAACCCACACTTTATCATTTTGGGTGACATTCAGAACCTGGCAGAACTGGAGACAAAGCTCAAAGATTATGCAAATTCATGTTAAATTCCAAAAGCATTCTTTCAAGAAGAAAATGTAATAAACTGTTTTCAGCCTCTTCTTGCAGATGTGAAAAAATAAGTAAGCATGTGATTGCAAAGTGGTACACCAAAAAGAGAAGTAAGAAAGACTGCTCTTCCTGTATGCAGCCAATATTCTAAACTCTAGCTCTCCTATTATCACCAGGAAAGGTGAGAAGAATTCTCATTCAGAAGCTCTTGAAACATAACCCCAGGTAAATGGGAACAGGAGTTACTGTTCCTCAAAAATTTGTATTTAAAAATATTTAAAATTCATTATTTTATTTCATATTAATATTCAAAGATTAGACTTCTGAATGTAAACTGCCACGAATAAAAAGCACACATGGATTGCAGTTCAACTTACTGCAGGTGACGTTAACTGAGAAGCATCTAATAAACATGCTTTCGCTTAGATTTCATCCCCAGTATCTCTCCCAAAGCCAGCAATGGGGATGAGGATGTCTTCCACATGCTCCAACATCATGCAAATGTGAGCCGAAGAAGTATAAAAAAGGGGGTTTACATATTACCATCGAGTGTACCTGCAAACTGCCTGTCCCCGTTTCCTCGGCTACCAAACCTGGTGACTATTTTCCCATTTGGCTGGAAGATAAACACGCAGCACGCCTTGTTATCCACCACAATGATGTGTCCATTGCGGTCCACAGAAACTCCTTTGGGCCCCATCAACTTTCCTGATCCAATTTTTGTCTGTTAGAAACAAGTACAGAAAATGAAGTTTAAAACACTATAGAACATGAAAACAGACATTTGTTTTAGTAAACTTTTACTTAAATATTCAAACGGGTGCACAGTTACTCGTATGTCACAATAACCTGTCTTGGAGAACTGTCTTGTCACATCCATTATCTGCTACTGATATTTATATAAAATCCTTACTTTTTAAAGGGGTCATAACCAAGAGTGTTCTAGAATCCCCTTAACTGGGGTCACAGGTTCCTTGTAAAGGGGCAATGTGGAAAATCACTGGATTAGGAGTAGGAACTGTCCTGTGCCTGTCACTCACTTTGGCCACACTAGCACAGATAGGTATAATTTCCTTAAGCTTCAGATTCCTTATATATTAAAAAAGAATGACTCCAATAACTTCCAAGGGTATTTTTAGAATATGTACTAGGTAAAATAATCTAAGTAAAGTATATAGTGTAGCATTTAGCACATATTAAATAGCCATTAAATAAAAGAAGCTACCACTGTCATTATTATATATCAGACTTAATATCGAAATTACCAGGCATCACCCTTGATCTTTATTAGAATTAAATTCCACATGGGCAGAAGTCATGTCTGTTTTATACAGCACTGTGTTCAGAGCCTAATGTACTTGGTGCCTAATAGGTACTCAACAAATATTTTTTGAATATATACTGATTTTAAAAGCCTGGCATTATTTAGAGTAAACATGATGTTTAAATTGTTCCAGTTTTCAGTATTTTAAAATGGGAGACAAGCATTAGATGTCTATCAAACATATACTACATGGATTTTAAATCTTACTCATTTTTCTGAGTAGACTATTTATATATACATAAATGCCCATTTTCCACAAGATGCATGTCATACCTTTAATTTTATTGCTCCGTTTTCTAGAGTACCTGTAAAGAAGTACTATACTCATGCATCTATTTATTTAGTACTTAGTAATTCTACAAACACTGATGGAGCACCCACTGTGTGCTTGACATTGTGTTCCTGGCACTTGGTAGACAAAGATGATTAACCCAGCCTCTACCCTTGAGGACACCTCAGCCACACTGCCGTGTACAAACATGTCCACTGTGTTATTTTTTAAGTGCCTGACGTTCAGTAGATTTGGGAGAATTCAGCGGGGCTACCTCAGAAGCCACATGGAACAATAACTCGAGGAGACAGGTCACTGTAGACCAGGAAGGAGAAGGAGCACCAAGGGGAGGCAGCAGCTGGACAGCGCCTGGTAAGGGAGAGGCTCTTTCAGGCACCCAAGCTCACGACGTCAGCAAAGCAGATCTCCGTGTATTTTTATGAATGTGCTTTCAGATGACTGAACAAAGCGATGTACATAACAATGAGTACAGTCTAAGCCCACCTGAGTTAAACGTGTTTAGTTATGTATACACATTTCTGGAAAAGAAAGTAAGAAACCAGTGATATTAGTGGTGGTAGGACAAATTCTTACTGTCCATTTTATACTCATCTATAGGCTTATTTAAAAAATCTATTTGCATGTATTACTTTTTAAATTAAAAATTTTAACTCCAACAAAGTTACATCCCCATAGGTTTTGTTTAGTCCTATTTTCTTTATACATATCAGTGCTGTCTGATTGAAATATAACATGAGCTATATAGAGTTAAAAATATTCTAGTAAGCAACATCAAAAAATAACAGGAAAAATTATTTTTATCATATATTTTACTTCACCCAATATAGCCAGAAGTTTTCATTTCAACATGTAATCAATACGAAACTCATTAAAAATTATTGAAATTATTAGTGAAATATTTTACTTTTTTTTTTTTTTTACTAAGTCCTTGAAACCCACTATGTAGCACATCTCAAGTCACACCAGTCCCATTTTAAGAACTCAGCATTCACATGTGGCTCGTGGCTACTGCATTGGCCAGCACACAATACACTTTTTCTAAGATTTCATTAATGCTATGACATCAACTTTCACCTCTATGTGTAAGATTCTCAAATCCATATCTTTAGACCTGGCCTGTTTTACAAGTTATCACCCTAAACTCAACCAGTGCCAAACCAAATATACCTCCTTCATTGCCATAGCAGTTCATCCAGTCACCCAGGATCAAAATTTCTGAGCAAAATAAACTCTTTTCTTTCACAAGTTTGAACCTCAGTTTTCTCATCTGTAAAGTGGCAGCTATAGTTTTTACCTCCTGGGTCATGGAGATTCTGAAGGATCACAGGGCCAACCACAGTGTTTGGGGCACAGACAATCTCCTTCTCCCACCCCATTCAGCTCATATTGTATCAGACCAACAGGTTTTTATCTTCTTTCCCAACAGAGGCATGAAGGTTTGTAGAGAAAGAGAATATGGAGAGACAGATGGGGACTTTCCCACAGGGGGGGTTCAGACTTTGTTTGATCTTTGATTTTTTTGAGTTTATAAATGACTTTAATTCAGATTTGATCTCTTTAGTACAAAGAGACCCATTTACTTAGGAAGGAAATAATGGCATTCCTGCAAGGGAATCTGTAGAATAAATGTAAATCTGATTCTCCAATCTAGCCCAAGAATCAAAGAGACGATAGTATAATGGCTTACACAGAAATTGTTTCCTTCTTTCATGTCTGAATGAAAGATATGTCAGCAGAGATCAAAAGGAGGAGAGGACACTCTAATTATGAAAACAAGAATATTATTACTATCACTAGCTGTTACTTAGAATGACTCAGCCATATAATATCAAGAGGATGATAACTATGCAGAAAAAAAAACAGAAAATAAAGGATTACTGCCATGTCATGAGAACCAGTGCAGGTCTAGAAGAAAAAACTCACATGTTGAACTGAAACCTCTTTTCATTCCACAGCCCTTTGTCGTTCCCCGTTTAGGGGCACTAGATCATCCCAAGTGAAATAAGAATTACTGTACTTAGCCTGACAATGTGTATGTCATCTTTAACAGAATAGTAAACAAAGATAATTTTAGACCCTGGCATTGGAACATTAAATGAAACTATTTAACTCAACAAGTAAGTCCGTAAATTGAAGAGGGACAAGATGACATATTTTAGAATATGGTGGACATGGGTCTCTGTATCTGTTCTGGGGTCACAAAAAGTTCCTGGATGGGCCAGAAGATATAAGTCTGGAGAAAAGATGGAAAGCAAAAAATTAGAGGAAGAGAGGAATAAAAATTAGAGCTAAGAAGTTGGTGAATAAAAGAAATAAAAGGAGATAAGATGTTATATCCCTAGAACTATTAGGAATAAATACAAAGAATCCACATTTGTGTTAAAGGTATGCCTTTCTGAGGATCTGCTTAAATCCCACTGAAGAAGAAAGTGAAGTATGTTTCAGTGTATGTCATGGGTATCACACTTGCATGAGCTCCTGTTACAGGACTGAAGTGTGTTCACTTGCTATCCTTTTACCCTTTGGGTTTTGATCAATACCTACTGGGAAAAAAAAGGGTATGTTGAAACCCTACTATACCCATTCCTACAATCCTACAGAGGGTATGAGCGTTTCTCAGTATTTATTCCAATTATTACCAATAGCACTCCAACTCTAAGAATCCAGTTCTTCCAGGAAGAGTGTCTATTACATACACAGCATTGAACCACTGAATGAAAAATGCTTAATCCAGGAAACCCTTCTCTCTTATATATAAAACATCTGGTTCAATATGTTTTAGTATATTAGATATAAAATATTTCAATATATTAAATATAAGCCTCCTGTTTCCATACCTATTTTAATATTGGTTTTTGAATTTAAAAAAATAGTTCATGGTTTCACTAGAGTATGTAACAGAAGAACTGGGTTGTCTCCAAACTAGCTGGATATTTGCAAGAGTTCACTGATAGCTTTCATTCTATTCATGTTAATGTTGTCATATTTGGGTAGGTCTTTCTACAAATACAATTAGGAAAACACAACAGAAGGGGAGGACATTAGACACATAGAAGGCAAAAGACTTATCTGTGTACCTGGCCATCATATTGAATCTTTAATGGAACAAAAAAATTAAGGGCAGTTGAAGAATTGTGTGCAATATGGTGGAATTAAAAATGACAGCTTTTTATTCTCCTGAATTGAAAAGATGCTGACCCCCTCCCCAAAACAAAAGCTACATTCTGAGGGTTACCAATTATTTAAATAACTCATTTTAATACAAATGATGAGATGACTGTAGTGATCCAGTAACACTAAAAAGGAAAATATAAATTTGTCCAATAAGAGACTAATAAGTGAACTTCGTGTAATCTTCAGGATCCCAGAATGGATTATGAAAAGCATCATCTCTGAACATTTAGTCAAGAAAGTGATGACCACCAGGTGCTGGCATGGGGTCATTAAGATCCAACTCACAGCTGATCAAACAGACTTTAATTTTTGGACAGGATTACTAGAAGCATTGGAAAACAACTTTTCTCAGATGCTTATCTCATATGAGGCACATATAAAATCCAGCCATAAAAATCTCATTTAATCCTTACCCAAATCCTATGAGATAGAGTTTTACAATCCAAATTTGAACTATAAGACTATCAAGGCTCAAGGAAGTTATATAATTTGCTGAAGCTCAAACAGTTAATAAACCACAGAGTTGGGATTCCGAAGACTTGATATGAGTTAAACTTCATGTTTTCACCTGAAAGATAAGCCTCTAGCAGCTTAGATGGGGATACTGAAGACAAAGTGCACATGGCCCTCAAAAACATCTCCTTTTGAACAAAGTGTCTCAAATCTCGTGAAAAACTGTGGAAAATGGGCTGGATGGTAATATTCTTTGATGATACCTTAGCAGAGAGCTCTCTACTCTTCCACCATCTGCTGAGGAAATGGAAGATGAGGCTGGGTGTGGCAGCAAGTGTGTAGGATGAGGGGACCCCTCAAAGTACAGCTCAGCTCACCTTTTCCCCATGAAGTCAGCCCTATTTTCTTTTCCTTCCAATTCCTGCATTACATACTTCACATTAGGTTTTCAGGTTGTACTGAACAATTTATGACTAATTAAAGGCTGACGTGACTTGTTTTCTGACGTTTATTAAAAGGTAGGGACTATGTCTTACAACTTGTTTCTCCCATATCATTTATCACAGGCCTGAGAAAACAGAAGGCACTTCATAAATGACAACCTACAGGTTCATTTGGGAAATATAAATTACCTCTTAATAACTCTTTCCTAAAGGTTGTTATTTTTCATTGAATTGAGATAAATCTGATAGTATAAAAAAAAACAAAGCAGTGAGCATCCTGCTTTATAAAATGAAGCCATATTTAGGAGATATGAATCTACTTATGACAGTATCATTGCTACTCTCACTTCATAAACCTTAGATGTAACAAGGTCAAGACGTCTGCATGTGAAAAAATACTGAATAGCTTATTGGACCTCAAAAAAGAAAAAGACAATTTTATCTTGGCTTCCCTATTCTTTCCACTGTTTAGTGGTCAAATGGTAGCTAATCTTACCTTGAACTTCCCATCTGAAGAGAAAATGCTAACCCACTTATTATCATAGTCTGCAATGATTATGTCCCCACTGGGATGCACAGCTACTCCTGTGGGCCGCTGCAGCTGCCCGGGAGAGCGTCCTCGGATGCCAAAACGACTTTTGAACTGACCATCATTGGAAAATATCTGTAAAACAAATGCATTCATTGAGATGTGAACTAGCACATAAGTTAGTGAGGAAGAAACAGGAGAGAAACATTTGTCACATGTACTACAGGTCAGAACATGCCAATTCTGTGTGAAGAAAAGTCTCTACACACACAGTAAGCTCTCCTTTCCTTCCTTGTACCATGTATCTTTAATCGTAAGTAGGAAGATAGGCAACTGTGCCTCCTATTTTATCAATGCAAATGGTTAAAAGAATACAGTCAGGGGCCATACCTGCACACACTGGTTGTTACTGTCTGCAATCAGTATCTTTCCACTTGTAGAAGCAGCTACCCCTTGAAGATTTGTAAATTCTCCTTTATTTCTTCCTTTGGTACCTAAAAATATATGATAAAAAAAACACAGAACTTACGTGACAGAAAAATACAGTCCCCAGTTGAAACAGAAGAATTATTCAGGTTTCCACAGGCAAACTGAGAATGCACTGTTTTTAGATTATACTTAGAAAAAGGAAACCCACCCTAATCCATATGCTACTAAACTTCTCTTGCAGACCAATAAAGTCTTTGCAAAATTAATTTTTTTAGGAAAATGCCAATTAAGATATATTTAGCCTCCACAAAGACACAATAATAAAAACAAATACTGCAATTGAGGATATGCACAAGGAGAGGGCCTTATTTTAGAGCTTGCCAAAATCCCACCCATTCATTCAGCAGCTCTTAGAAGAAACCTGACTCGAAGAAGCTTCTTAGAAGAATGTTGGTTTTCAGTACATTTAATAAACCATAAAGCCACGGATGCTATAAAACTAGCAGGCTGATTTTCACATGCTGCATTTACTTATGCATTATTTTCAGAGACTCAGTATCTCATAAGTTGTATCTTCTTCCTGATAATGTAAAAGATATCCCAACAGAGTGCTCTCTAGATTAAGCAAATAAGAAAGGCAAAAGAAAATGAATTAAGTCAAGTGATATTCTCATCTGTACTAGACTTTGTTACAGGAGAGATGAAGCAGGAGGGGGAAAATGCCAAGGTGTCTACGGGTTCACAGATACCCGTTTTTGTTTCAAAATAAGTGTTTACAGCTTATCAATTAATGTATGAATAGTAATGGATGGGAACAGAATAAACTTTGATCAGTAATGATCAGGAAGGAAGTTTAAATTTTCATAGAGAGAGAAAGCTAAGCCTCAGTTTTATAATTTCATTCATATTCAAAAAAGCAATTTGATATTTTGGTTTTAAGACCTCAATGCAGTGCCTTAGGAAAGAGCAGAAAAAGCATGCTGATGGTAGCTAATGTCTAACACACATTTAAGCACTGCTAAGGAATAGTTAGACTCTTCTGAAACATATTTTCAGGTTTAGGAACTAAAAAACTAAAATTGGTGACTGAATTAAACTCAGACTAACACCAACAGAATCGTAGGCAGAACCACCTTAGATTACCTGGTTCTCACCACATCCACAGGGCAGTTGTTTTATTGAAATCCTGAGTTCTATCAAGTTTACTCACCACCTCTATATCTCATCTACTCTTACTAATGTGAAAGAAAAATTTGACATCCAGAATCTCACAAGAACATCTTCTGTGTCTTGGAGGAAACAGTTCTGTTTTATTTCATTTGAGATGTATCGGAGATGATCTTTTATACTTGATCTGTGTAGAATCACTACATATGTACCATCTTATGCTTTCTAAAAATGGGTGGGTATTTGTTGGTGGGGCACATGGGGGGCTGGCCCTTGAAGGAGCAATGTGCCAACATGGTATTCTCTTTCAATCATTCCCTCTGGTGTCTGAATAACAGCTGGGTAACAGGTAGAGCAAAACTAAAAGAAATGCTCAGTTCATAAAAATTTTTTAAAAGATAGTGGGGGCAAGGCTAGGGTTCCCCAAGAGTAAAATTTAATTAGCAAAAACTTTTGATAGCTAGCAAGATGAGCTAGCAAGTTAGCAAGATGAGGAATGGAGGAGGACCAAGTCAAGTAACCTAGTAAAACAGCAAGAGCCCTACAACTGGGATGGGAACATAAACAAAAGAAGTGACTCTGTGAAGCAACCGGGCCTGCTGCAGGTCTTTCTTTGTGTAGAACTGGAAGGGCTCCCGAATCTTAGAGGGCACACAGGTTTGGGAAAGAAATACTGAAAATGGGGAGGGACACCTGAACAGGGTAGACGAACATAGGTTTGCTCTCCTGGTCCCAGCCTGCTGCCCTCTTTTACTTAACCTTTTGTCTGTCCTGCAAAGGACAAAGCCTATTCCACTCTGACAAGGCTGTGCAGGCAGCAGCAGTTGATGGTTGAAAGGAGGAAAATTGGGGAGGGTCGTGCTTTAGGAGAAGCTAAGGGATTACTCGGCCAAAAGGATTTATGAAAATACAGAGGTGATGTTGATGGAGGGAAATTACATGAGCAAAAAATACCAACGTTTTTTTCATTGCAGAAATACACACACATTTTTGAGTGGCAGTAGAAATAGGAAATAATTGTATGTGGGGATATAATTTTTAAACTTGGGAAGACATTTAGTTGGAATCCACATCAACATTCCGAACAAGAAAGATCATGCTATGCCCTGTTTGAAATGGATGTGAGGTGCTCGGTGCCTGCCAATTCTGGGTCCTGAGAGCAACGGCACGATGCTGCACAAGAGCGCACTGCCAGAAAGGGGTTCCACAACCTCTGGGAGACCCCAGGGCTGGGTGCTGGCCCAGCTCTTAGTCTTGGTCCCAAGTTAACTCCAGCAAACTACAGCTTTGCCCCACAGCAATAAAATCACAGGGTTGGAGGAATATCTGCAGTACAAAGATTGTTAGTGTATTTTTGAAAGAGCTAGATGGAAGATGCACTGTCGTTTTAATTTTATAATGTTTGTTTTAAAAAATGTTTTTTGGGCTCTGTTTTCAAATAGCTGGGATTGGTGTGACAGGTAACATCCCGATTCTCATGAGCATCTTTTGTCAGAGATTATCGATCATCATTTAAAAAAAAAACTCTTGAGTTTTTACACACACAGGAATTGTAGTGTTATTTCTGAGATTAAAGGAAATTACCAGTGTATTCTTGAGGGACAGCTAATGCTGTTTCTATGAGC